TTCTATATTATAATTTGAAAGTGTGCCGATTACTTTGTATACTTTAGTTATCAACATAAGGCATTCAATACTCTCGTATGTTTTAACAATTGCCAAGTAAATTAATGTTATACGTACATTTATATATATATATATATATATAATATAATATATAATATATTATATGCTAATAATTAAATCGTACCTTAATATTTTTGTTGGCGTTAAGTCCTCACACATAATATTGTATACTGTATGTATTCATTCATATGCCACAAATTTAGTTATGAAAACATTTATACTATTGTCCTTGTATTTAACTAATAATTCACTTATTCATGTTTAATTGGTTAATAGAGACTACTTACTCATTGTAATATTTTATCTGCAATCTAAATTTTTGGATTTTAGGGTTTCTAAAAAGTCGCAGGGATAAAGCAAAATCTAAAAAGGCTAAAAAGAAAAAAGATACTGAAATTACCAGTAATAAAGAAAAATCAGATAAGTAAGATTTTTGTTTTGTTGAATTAGGTGGTTGATAACAAAAAAAAAAAGAAAACATCTATGCGATGTCATGGTGTACAAATATTGAACTTAAATGATTACTACACTTAAATTCTATGCTGTCAACTACCTTATTGTTAGTAAATGAACAAAGAAATTATGTGGTTATAATTTTTCTTAGCGAAGAGAAAGAAGAAACAGAGAAAAAAATTGAAACAAATGCTCCAGAAGTTGATGAAGATGGATTTTGCATTCGACCAAAACTTGAACGTTGGGAAAATGATAAAGGAAGCTTTTATTCAAGTTCTGACATGGATTCTGGTAATTCGGAGTTTAATCAACTACAATTATTAGTATCTATATATAAATCTATAAATATAAATTTATTATAGATGAAGAACGTGAGCACAAACTACACGTAGAAATAAAACCATTAACAAATGGATCAGCACCAATGTCTGCAAGTGTGGATGAGTTACGTGCAACTGTTGAAACTTTGTCACTGTCTCCTCTTGGAACACTGCCTGTATGTTTGCCATTATTTTACTTAAAATTTGTAAAATATTCTGAACATATAATTGGGTGTGTGATAATTTTGAGTGATACTGCATAATTGGGTTACAGGGTCGCAGAGGTTCTAATTCAGAGATGGAAAATAATATGAAGCGTTCTCAATCAGTTTCTCAGCAAATAGGGTTAGCACAAGGAAAATCTGGCAGTGAATTGTTAGGTTTAAGTTTTTGCACAAGTCCATCAGCAAGTGCTGGCGGCTCCACAGGTTCCACACCTACAAGTCATCATCACAATCACCCATATGCACCTCTGCAAAGTCCAAGCGGAAATCCTTCACAGACAACAACAATACACAGTCCCACTCTGGGTAGCTCTACGAATAGATATGCTGGTCAGTGTATATATACTAATATTTGTAGTTTGTTTGATCTGTTACACTGATTTGTTTTATTTTTTTTTTTTTTGTTTAGATTTAGGTGATATTTTTTCTGAAGTTGGTGAAATTACAAGTAATATTGGTACAATGAAATTGAGTAGACAAACAGCATCTGCCAATTCAACCGGCAGTATAGCATTGCCGAGGCCACCTTCTCGAAGATCTGAGGTTTATTTATACTTTTGTTAATTTAATTTAAATTTTGAGTTTAAATTTTTTCTTAAATGCTTTTGTAATATTTTATTTAGGCTGGAGCCAGAGGTCGCATTAGCCCCTCTAATGTAAATATGTCTCGCACGGACAGTCTTAGCAGTGTGGGAGGTTCTGGTATTGAGTTCAGAGCGAGTTTCGGCTCTTCTCGAGGACCCTCACCTCTTACAATTGGCATGGCAGACACCATACCATTAGCAGTTGCATTTCATGAAATAGTTCATGCATATTTTAGAGGGACTGATGAAACAATGTATGTTGTAAAATAAAATTAAAAATGTCAAAGCTGATTATGTATAGTAATTTTAAAACACATTATTTTAGGTGCAAAGTGAAAATGTCAGGTGATATGATGCTGTCATTTCCATCTGGAATAGTTAATGTTTTTGCCAATAATCCTAATCCATCAAAATTGTGGTTTAGGATAAGGAATTCACAAAAACTCGAAAATATTTTGCCAAACAACCAACTTGTTTCTATGTAAGCTCTTACTTTACTCAATATGTGGGTTCACTTTTGTTTAAGATCATATAACATAAAAATATTAATTCAATTCATTTCAGTGATGTTCTACAATCTACACCTGATAACATAATATTAGAATTCAACATGCCTGCCTTAACTGCATTATTACGACGCCAGTCAGAACAAAATCCTACTGCAGCTTATTTCAATGTTGATATTTTGAAATATCAAATTAAAACTAAACCAGGTGCTGGTTCTTGCCCCTTCCAATTGGTATCATATTGGAAATGTGAACAAAACCATACGGATTTGAAAATTGATTATAAATATAACTTGCACGCCATGAGCAGTCCTTCTCCATTGCTGAACGTCTCAGTTGCAGTTCCAGTTGATGGTGGAGTAACAGATTTGCACTCAATGCCATCAGCTATTTGGTATGATTATTTTATTAATAAATTATATAAAGTAATAGTTGTTGAACAACAAATTAAATTTATGTATTGTTGAATAATAATAATATTTTATATGAAAATTAATGATATGATAATGATAAAAATGTATAATGGAATAGACTTATGATATTTGTAATATAATTAGTAAACTTTACTTTTTTATAATATCTTTATTTAAATAATGTTTGATGTTACTGTTTAAATAATAATTAACTCAATTACAGGATATCAGAAAACAATACGTGCCTATGGAAATTTACAGAACTTTCACAACACTCAGAGAACAAAGGAGTTGGATCATTGAGAGCCAGGATGGAAATTTCAAATGGTCCAAGCACACCTGCCACTATAAGAACACAGTTTAATTGTGAAGGAACAACTTTATCTGGAATGGAGTTTGAATTACTTGGATCAGGATATAGATTGTCACTTGTTAAACGTAGATTTGTTTCAGGTTTGTATTTATGTGTGTTATGTAATATTGTCTTCCTTTTAGTCTTTCAAATGTGTCTTAACATTATCAATTTCGATTATTTCTAAATTCTTGTTTCTCATTTATTTATCTTACCAGTATTTTATAATAGGTTTATATTGGCTCTCTATACTTTCAAAATGGCACATTTTAAACTTTTCTTGGCAACTATTTTCAAATTTGCAAAACTAATTTCAGAAATACCTTTATTAATTTTCAGGAAAATATATTTGTGATGGAGATAAGCATATAAATTTATCTGCCTCTTGCCCAATCTCACCTCCTGTGCAAAGTCCTGATTCAACCACTAGTCCTCGAAATGCTTCAGCAGCCAGCTAATCAATTGCTTTCAGTGAATGTCTCAATTTCCATATTGGTTAGTATTGTTTTTGCAACAGTATTTTGTTTTAAAATTATTGATGCATAAGTTTCTCATCTGAATTTTGCAAGTGAAGATAACTCTTTATTATCATAGGTTATATAACTGAAATTTCAACCAAAATTACCAAACTTTTGCTAGTTTTGATTGAAGCAAATCGGAGTGTAGAATTGAAAATAATTTTGAAATTAATTAAACCGTACTTCATTTTACACAAACTTCAATGATTCTTATTTATAAAGTCCTAATGGACACTAGTAAATGCAATCGTTAAAGTGTCTGATAAGACACTTATTTGGAAATTTTCTAATGTATTTTTTGTGTTAGTATTAACTACAAATCTTGATGCTTTTTTAAGTTTTTGTTCCACTAAACAAAAATATATGCTGAATTGAATTGCATTACCAATTTTGAAACCATGTAGTAAAAATAAGTGTCATATACATCAATTTTTGTTCATTAATTGATTGATATGTGCTTTTTTTAAATTGTTAATGTTAAAATATGTGTATGGTTCACATCTTGTTCTTGCATACAAGGCCCGTGTTATTCACATATGAATATTTTAATATGTGTAAAAGAATTTTATTATATATATATATATATATATATATATATATGTATGTATGTATGTATGTATGTATATAAAATATGCATATATATACATATACATGGTTTAATATGGTGTGTACGTATGTAACACTATTGTATATGTATACATTTGTAAATATTTTTTAGTGCTTTGTAATATGAATTTATTATGGTATATATATATATATATATATATATGTTTGTTAATTCGGTCTTAATATCAAATAAACAAAATTAAAGCAGTTCAGAAGTTAGTTTTCGAATTGGAATCAAACCATCATTCTGGAAAACGTTAAAAAAAATGTTTAGACATAGCATATACAGGTTCTTATAGAATTTAAAAACGTAATTTAGAGATGAATGATCTTCATTATCTGCAAAGTTGTGGGATTGTGTTGGCATTTTCTTTAAATATATAATAAACTTTGAAAACTGATTGAGGAATATTCTGTATTTAGTTTAAAGGGAATAGTTGTCATTACATTTATTTGTGGCTTTATTTATGAGTTTATAAAATGACAGCTAACACTTTTTATCTTTTTTTTTTTTGAAAAGTTTGGTCGATAATAATTAATAATAAATCAATGCTATGGTTAATGATCATTGTGCATTCTAATACTAGTTACTATTATATATAAATTGTTATTGGTTTTATTATAATATCAATGATCATTAATTTAATACAGTTTTTTAGTTTATTTCACTAGATTATGTTTCATTTAAGTACGCCAGAACGTATGGATCAATAAAACTTCAATTTCTCAACTGCTCGAGTTTTTTTTTGATGGTATTTTCCAATTAACAAACCTGTATATATATATATATATATATATATATATATATAAAATGAATGAACTCATTTATATATTTCAATGCATATATATGGATCCAATGGCGCATACATGCGTACCCACTTGTTACAGATAATACTCTTTAATTTAATTTTTAAATATATTTATGGTTAACATTATTTAGATATTTATATCAAAACTAACAAAATATATTAACAGTTTCATATTGATCTTGTGTACTAAGTAACTATATATTCATTTTATTCTTTATACAAAATTATTGAATTTATAAATAACCTGTCTATGTATATGTATAGGTTTATATATATATATATATATATATATATATATATATATAATATATATTTATATATATATATATATATATATATGTATATATATATATATATATGTAGGTACATTTATGCACATACATATATTCAATATATATATATATATATATATATATATATATATATATATATATTAAGTTTGACAATGTTTCAGCAGTTTTGAATAACTAAATCATCAGCATTTTCTAAAAGTTCAAATTGATTATGCTGAAAATCGTATATCTACAATATATATTAATTTTTATTATTGATAATGAAAAAATGAAATATTTGTGTTACTTTAAATAATTTCCTGATTTATTGTTTATTATATATTCAATATTCACTCAACTTGTGATATTTATTTCAGTGTCAGGTATCATATATTTGGACTTTATTTTTATTCAGCTTGTTATTTACCAAAATAGGTATGATGACATAGTATAGCTGCAACTAAAACTGTTATTGTTGGAAGTAAAAACTAGTACGTTTTTCATAAAGTGTGTTAAACACTGACATATAAATTTAATCTAAGCATTTATTTTATATTCCAAGAAGTACAGATGTTATTTAGGTAATTTTCACTTTCTTTTATTTTATTGTTGCTTCCCTGGTAGTATAATTTAAATACTTCAATAAATTATAGTGTACATAAATTTAATTATGAAAATACTGTAAAGTATATTGCTTTGTCCATATTAAAATGGTGCTTTAATAATATTAAAACCAAAAAGTTACATTCTGGTAATTACAAGCAACAATTTATTTCTGGGGTATACATTTTAATATTTTTAATCTTATTATATATAAACAAATGCCAGTGTAAAAATAGTTCACAATATACAATAATATAGATATAAAGCCAAATTATAAATTATCAAATATAAATATATTGATTATGCACTTTGTTGGATTAGGAAATATAAATATTTTGATCTATATGTTTTTTTTTTATATTTGGCTCCTATTTTATTCTTATACTCTTATTCTATTTATTCTTTATTTGTAATTTGGTCGTTTTTCAGATCAAGAATACAAATGTAATGAACGATTACAATACAATTATTGTATTATTTATTTATGTTTTGTTAACATTATTTACATATCAAATTTTGATATATTTCAGTAGAACCAACCTTAGGCAATGCCAATTTGATTTTTATCACAGCAGGACCATATCAAATTGTGTATGTGGCAGCACTTGTAAACTAACGACAAAGTAACACCGAAATCAAATCAGAAATTGCAAAACAGTTGTTGAGCTTTGTAGTGATTTCTGTATTTATTTTGTAATTTTATTTGATTCTGTATTTTAATGTTTTTTTATCAATACTGTGATATTATGTAATAAAGTGACTTTATTTCGAGTTCGATACATATCTGACACAAATAATTGAGAGGTTTTCATATCTGTGAAATAATTGGTGAACGCAATTGCAAATTTGAAGGTTAGTTTATATTTTTAGTTACTTTAATTCGTTATATTAATTAACTTGTTTTTGAAAAATTATCCAAATATTTACAAAATACAGAAGTAATGTTTAAGTTTCAAGTGCAGTAGTTTAGATTTATAACTGTATAGTCCAGTAATAACAGTATAATTTTGAATCATTGATCGTTTTAGTTTTAGTTTTAATGTTTATAACTTTTACTGACATGCTATTACGTATAGTTGTTTGTTTAAGATTTATACATATAACCTACGTTAACGATTTAATTTAATAAAATAAAATAGTAGGGCATCTTATTGCCGGATGTTTTACAAAGTATAGGATGCAAAAGTTCGCGTGAAACGCAATTTAAATTCAATTGTTCTTTATATATTCTTTTGCTTAGAATTTGTTTCACAATATTGACTGTGTTAACAAATGGCTCGATTTGCTACAGACAAATAACATTTTTTATTAATTTAGATATTGATTATGTGCTATTATAATTTAAAGACTATGCAATTCTGTCCGCGGTTAAAAATGTTCGAGTTGGTAGTGAGCATAGATAAATAAACATAATAGTCAGCACTGCATTAGGGTGACCAAAATGAAGTTTGACGTATACGTTTGACAATGGAAATATAAAATCTTCTTTACAAAGATACTTTGAAGACATGGCTTTAAACACAAACAGAAATTAAGGTTTTATTTATTGAAAGGTTTTATGATTAATTGCATTTCAAAAATGTATTTTGATACTTGTTTAAACTGTCCATTATGTGTCAAGTATCAAGTGAAGACTTGAAACAAGTATTTCTGAAAGTCAATTCTGAATGCAATTAATAACTAAACATCTCAAAAAAAATCTTTGATTTCTGTTTGTGTTTAAATCCAATTCATAACAAATTGAACATTATCTGTTTATTATTGTAGATATAAACAAAGGTTTATATTTTTAAATCTGAATTGACAATCATTGTCAATTAAATTTTTGTTCTTATAAGTAATTCTTTTTTAATTTTATTTAAACACTGGAAATAAAATTTTTGAATTTGAAGGACAGTCATGAAATAGAACTTTTTTTTATAAATAGAAAACAATTTTGTATTTTATGAAAATTCATTTTAATATATGTACATGTTTATGTAATTAGCCATACCTTAATATTGAAGAATATCCAAACATTATAATTAAATTTATGAAGTTTACATTTCATATGTGTCGAGGATATATTTGTGCTCAAAAAGTGAATAATCATCTTTCAATCAAAATTTTGATACATGAATATGGTTTATAAATACATGTGCTCAGATAAATACATATAATACAATATATGTAATACTCATGCAATAAGATTCTTACAAAAATATAAAAATAATTAGTAAATTAAAGTGCTTCTTCAGAAGTTGTAACCGTGCCATATTACAAAATACTCCAATATATTTATTATATACTTTCAAATATTCATTTTAAAATCTAAAAACCATAAGAAATCTTAACCTACAGATTACATTCCATATAAACACAAAATTCAGTCATTAGAGAAATAAATGAATTAAAAATTCAAAAATTTCTGCGAGTCTTATAGTATATCTGGCATAAATTTTAAACCAATTAAAGTAAACAAGAGAATTCTATTATCACACACTCAACCAATATAACAATTTCTAAAATACATTCATTCAAATAAATAATTAATTATAGTGGTCAGAGCCAATACAATCCAAAATAACCTAAGACTGAAATGGCAGTATACTTCCTCTATGTACCTTATATCATTATTTCCTAATCACAGCTTAATAATAAATCAATCACGTTATATAATTCATAGAAAAACTCATCAGGGTAGCTGGCAATATTCGCAAGAAAAAAATAATTGATATATTTTACACATTCCAATCATTAATAATTATAGTTTGTTGTTGTAATGGCAGATACTGCTACAATTATTTCATATGCCATTTCAAGTAATTAATACATAGAAACCGAAAATACATGACGGCAAAAAAAAACATTCACAAGGTTTCACGTTTCAGATCTACAAATTCAAATAAAATATACAAATATTTGTGAACGCGGAAATAGTTACTATGCTTCAGAAATATTTTTGCTGACGATCTGCCTTGACATTATATATGTAAATACAATACAAATATACATTATATATGCATGTTATGTTGTGTAGTAAATATATATATACATATGCACTGCAATTTATCTCAACTTTATGGTGATATAATTCAACAAAAAATAAACGGTTTGTATTTACATATATAACAATTTTAAGTTATTATAAAATGAGCATTATTCAGAATAAATATGTAACATTTATCGAACCCTGTGGATATTATCGAATTATTTGATTATCCACAATCATATAGAATTGAAATATATATATATATATATATATATATATATATATATATATATATCACCTTATGTAATAAGTATGAATAATCACTAACTTTTTATCTAATCAAAAATCAGTCAGTTCAGACAAATACTAACAATTATAACATTGCCCATATTAATTTCAAGATAATTAAGTTTATAAATTAATTGGGAATGTTTGAAGTCACATTTATAACACATTTGATACCAATCAGCAATTGTTATGAATGTAAAGTATACAACATATTATAACTTGAATACAATACATTTGAATATTTGTATCTTATTATTAAGATTAACAAAACGGAATGTGTCTCAAATATCTAGACTTGCAAACAAAGACACACCTTATTAACAGGTTTTTCATAAAAACAAAAAGACGAAAGCATAGTTCTACTTCTACGCTACAACCACAATTTTATTGTTTTCAAACAATCATTTTTATGACATAATTTTCATCACTGGATTATCAAATTAATAATATGAAACCCCTCAAATGAGAGCACGATGGTAGAATGACTACCAAAAGATTCATTATGTTTATCAATTTAGCAATAATAATAAAGTAAAAATTAGAGCAAACTTAACTTGTAACTATAATCACAACTACTAAATATACTTAGGGTCCAAGAATCGATATTGGATAAGGATCAGACCAACTTTCTAATTTGGCAGAAGATGTTGTAGGCTCTTCTTTTGTAGCCAATACAAGAACACTAGGGCGGAAATGATTAGCATTTATAACTGTTTCACAATCATTATTATCCCATTGTAAAGGTTTTGCTAAATCCAATTTATCTTGCCACAATGACTGATCTCTACAGGCTTCTCTTAGCCAACGTTTTTTAGGTTGCTCATTAAACTTAGGGCTATTTAAAACTCCAGTTCTAACAGGCGGTGAATTCTGTTCATCGCCTGAATCCTGATTTCCTGGATCGTTCCATTGAATTATTTTTGGTGCACTAGCTTTTTTATATAATGGAGAAGTTAAAGTATTTCTTGCATTCAAATCACTCATGAGATCTTTTCGGAATTTAAACGAGTTATTTGGTGTGGCACATCCGATTCCAATATTTTCATTTTCAGTACCAAGATATTTTTTTGTGACTGTGCAAGTTTTTCTAGTTGGTGTTCTATCTTCTCTTTCTAATTTATACCTGTAACATTAAAAATTATGGTTGTTAGCTATAATGACAAAATAACAAAAATATCCTTTATTGTTTAATACCTTTCTAGCCATCGTAAAACTTCTAAAGATTGCTCAGGATTAGTTGCAACAGGTTGTAATACAAAATCATCAGATCTTTGTAAGGTCTCATTAGGATGATCAGGGCAATGCCTATTGGCATGAGTAAATCTTTTCCCACAAGAATTAGCTGAGCATATAAATGGCTTTTCACCTGTATGCAGTCTTTGATGTGTTTTTAATTGACCACTTTGTGTAAATGCCCTTGTGCAACCTGGGTAATCACAATGGTATGGCCGCTCACCTATTAAAAATAAATAAATCTAAATCAATTGTTTGATTACATAAGAACCAAAGTGCATTAACAAAAAAAAAAAGACATTTTCTGAATATATATTTTAATTTTCTAAATATATATTTTAATTAGAAAAATTAATAAGTTTGACACAACATATTTCTTGTTATGATTATATTAACTTACAATTATAAATAGGAATGTCATTTTATATTTGTAAAAAAAATGAAAATTAATAAAGCTTTATATGCGACTTAAATATAAATAAATTTTGTGTAATAAATATTATTTCTTGGTACAGCCATTTATTTCATTTCTATAACTTTAAGATTGTTTTTATACTGTTCATAATATTTTTTTATTAAATTAAGCAATAAAAAATGCAAGATTTTTATTGCAGTGCTATTGCATACAACATACCCGTATGTGTTCTCAAATGCGCTTGCAAAGATTTTTCTCTAGGAAACACTCTATGACAATGGCTACATTTTATATTTGAAGGCGATGTGGAACCTTCCATCATTAAATTAGATAAAACTTCAGAACGAGGCCGGCCTCGTCTGTTGGCTCTATTCGAACCATTTCTGAGATATATTTCAGGAGAACTGCAATTGCTTTCGGGACTTGCAGATTCTTCACCTCTACTCCATGGATAAACTATATTTTCATTAGATAATGAATTCTGGACATGATCATTATACATTTCAGCACGCGTTTTGACTCTTTTCGGTGTATTCATGATGAATAGAAAAAATCACAATAAACACAAAAACATGACAAGAGGGAAAATATTACTTATTACTTCACTACAATGGAGGACTTTACAAATATTATGTCCATATCGGCCTTGTGCAGTTGTTGCTAGGATAGCCACTAACAGGAGTGCCAATCTAACGAAATTCACTTATTTGAAATCGGCTCAAAGAGGACTTTAGAAGTTTTTTGAAAAAGAATTAGTTACTAATTCAGATAGATAATGCTTGACAATTTGATTTTCTTCAAATATGATAAATTGAACATGATAAAGTGTAAATATTGACAGATTTCGTGTAGTGTAGCCATTGGTTTGGAAACGGAAAAGAGTCTGACGCTACCTTCACGGTAGTGAATGGTACTGTTTTGTCTCAAAAGCAATGACAGCCATCTTAGTTTAGATATATGTAATATATCAGATTTTTGCCATGATTACATTTTTTGTGGATGTCAAACAATATATCTTATATACTTGCGTATATGTGCTAATGCTAAATAATCATGTGAAATAATAAAGCAGTGCAGAAATTTCTATAAGTGCAAAATGACTTTGTTTACATCTTCTTTCATATCCCGCTTTGCATTTTCTGTCAGATTTCGGTGAGGGAAAACAATACGAATAGGAAAAATGCCATTAGTATAATTTATAATATATATAATGCATGTTGATAATATTTTTGCTATGGATAATACTCATAGATTCCATAGTATAGTAAACAAGAATTCCATTGCGCTTAGAAGAATCATTGAAAGTAGTGGAGTATTTAATAATCTAGTAACCATATATAATTTATTAACTAGTATCTTGCTCTTGTTTTTTTATTGAAATACATTTCTTGAACGTTAAAGTTTATCTGTAAATACTAAGTTTATAATCAGTTTTGTTTGTAAACTACAGAATATATTTGACACATACAAATCACTGTATACTGACCATTAGTGAGGCTATATTTTGCAACATTAGTTGGTAAGAATATTATGCAAAACTTGGATAACTATTTAATAAAAATGTCTATGTTGAGGGTAACATTTTATATACATTCAGTATTATTGTTTATATATATATATATATATATATATATATATACATAATTTTTATTCTTTTTCAGGATTTTCAGCGAAGTAATAGTAGCTCACTTTTGTTTACTGTTACATATTAACCAAACATGCAAATTGTATCTGGTATAAAATGATTAGCAGATTAGCAGAAACTGGTGACTCTGAATCTTCCGAGCCTCATGTATCGGTTGTGAAGGAAACATCTAATACTACTGAGTGCCATGTTGCTTCAAATGAAGGGCATCAAAAAACAAATGAGGCAATCCAATTGAAAGTGTTTGAAACTGAAGACAATGATTCAAATCAAGGGGATTGTACTCTAGCAGTGAGTTTATCTCATGTCAGTGCTCAATATGGAGTTTCGTCAAAGACTGAAAGTGAGAGTTCAAATAATTTTATGAAATGTTCGAGTGTAACTGAAACGGTGAATGCTATGACTACAAATACTCCTGATGTACATAAAAACGATGACAGCGAACAAAGCATACAACACAAATTACGAATTATTCTGAGCAGGAAAGTAATTTTCAAGAACTCTGTGTTTATGATGATCCTCCTAAAGAATATATTGCTAAAAGTGCAAGTGCAGTTTCCACTCTTACGAAATTGATTTCAGATGGGAATCCAATAGGAAGTATTAGGGTAATCTCATGTGAGACTGCTTCTAGTTCAGATGATGATGTTGAAAATCCATCAATGGATGTCATTCATGAAGTGTGCAAACTTACCAATTCATCAAGTGCTGAATACCATCCAGTTAATAAATCACATATTGAGCAGGAACTGGATTCAGTGTCAGTCAGTGAATTGTTGAGACGATCATGTGACGATATTAATATAGCCTATTTAAAGAACTGCAAATCTAATGTATCTGTAGTTAAATGCTCACCTTCCAAGACTAGCGTGAATTCTTATGTAAAATATGTTCCATCTATGCAAAGTAAACAAAATTCATTGCAAGGTCGTACAACTACCAGCTTACCTCCCACCAGTGCAGTTTTGAATCCGACTCATTCCCTCCACAAAGTAAAAAGTAATCCTCAAGTGTATAAAGTGCAGAATGTTATTGTGAAACCATCAGCTCAGAATGCGAATGGGTATATTACACAATATGGGAATGCAATTCATCCAACTACATCTCAAACCTATTCTGAAGTTAATATAAACCCAACCAACCAGACATCAGTTTCATCTAATTATTTTTCCAAAAAACAAGCATTACTAGATAAAGAAGCATATCAGAAAAGAAATAGGAAAATTTTGTTTGGCAACCAAAGTTTGCAGAAGGACTCATCGATCGAACATGTTGACATGTATCAAAGTCAAACAAATTATTCTAATAAGTTACCAAATATAATATCCAAAGTGCGGGACAATTTATTAGAGAATCCTTTAAAATCAAAAGCAAATAAAGTTTTTTTAAATCCAAGTGATAAGTACTCTGAGCATACTCGTGTAGTTCGTAAATATGAGCCCAAATTCAGCTCCAATACACTAAATATGGATCAAACTAAATTGCTGAAAAAAAATAGGCCTGACTATGCTTTTTCCTTGAATCGAAATTCATTAACTGATAAACATGGGATATAGGCAATGTATATACTGAATCAGTTGCTTTGGAGCCTCATTCTGGGTTACCAGCGACGTCCATACTGCTGAATCAGGAAACATATTCCAGAAAGAATATCAAACAAAACATTAGGACTGGGCAAAATAACAATATTGATGTGCTACCTAATAATTGGAAACAAAAAGCTACCATAGGTAGGTGGTATTGTTTATCTAATTTATTTCATTATAGTAATTCATAAAAATTAAGTATAAATTTAATTTATCATTTTATGCAGGTGGTGCCGTGGTACCAGAAAATGTAACACCGATATCAACATCTAATACTTGGGATGAAATTCCAAGGCTGAATTATAGTTTGAGTCAAGAACCTGTATCAGCTAAATTTGAAACTTCAACCATAATTAAACAAACACCCCAGATATTAATTGTGAGGTAAAATGCTGTTCATTTCTTGCATTATTTTTTTTTTATTACAAAATTGAATTTTTTAAAAATAACTTTTAATATTGATACATTGAAGACCGCATCGAGAATCATATATTTCATGTTAAAAAAAAAAAAAAAATAAATGAGGATGTGTCAAATTTACTAAGTACATCAATACACAGTATGTCTTCAAGTATGATTGGCAAATGGACTGCAGTAATAAAAAATAATTTAAATGAGGCTACATCAAATATACTAAGTCTGATATATGCAGTGTCTTCAAGTGTGATTAGTGAATATTTAAAATACTATACTACAGTACATAATTTTAATAAAAACTATATCCACCGGTATATAAGTCTACCTGGACTACATATATACCTACAAGGACACATATCTGCCCATCTGTGAGCATTCGGTCCTGTAATGTTGTTGCAGAGTGATCCACCAAAGAAGAAATATCTTAATTGTTTTTGGATACAATAAAAAATTGTTAAAATTAATATATTCTACAATAGTTTTTTTGTTATATATTATTATTGAAATTTTAATGTGAATTGATTTTAATTATTATTGAAATTAAATTTATATTAAAAGTTTAATCTCAAAACAATATTTTAATCAAATAATTCAGTATGTGCATGAATTTTACAATTAAAGAGATTTTACTCTTTGTTCAGGGGTGATTCACAAGCCCCACCACAGAGGGTAGGTTGTGGAGATGAAGAGTTTATTGGTGAAGAAATTCGACCTCAGCGAACTGATCATTTGCCTCCTGCTTATCATAGTTTGCAAATAGTTCTGCAAGATCACAATTATGGAGCCCCACCACCTTCCTCTGTCATATCTCCAATGCCTGAAATGTTTTCTAATACAAGCAATCCTGTTGAGCATATACCCAGTTTTAACACCAAAACTTTAAGTAAGTTATAGTGAAATTTGTTTTGACCATGTGAACTTTAAATTATATATTGAATAATTATTTAAGGAAAACACGAGGATGAAGATGCAGCTTCTGTTGTTAGCATTGAATCTCATAATCATCTTAATAATGAAGAGGATGAAGAAACTGAAACTGCTCCTGAAGAAGAGAATGAGACTTCTGATGTAGTGGATGATAAAAATTCCATCACACGTTGTATATGCGATTTTCAGCATGATGATGGATATATGATCCAGTGTGGACAGTGCCTGTAATTATCAACTTTATATTTTTATTTTAATAAATAATTATCTATATTTTATTGTACTATTTTAGTGTTTGGCAGCATATTGTTTGTGTTGGAGTAACTCCAAAGCGAATACCAAAAAAATATCTCTGTGACTTTTGTCAACCTCGTGAATTAGATCGTTATCGAGCACATTCCTTGCAGAAAATGATTCGCGATGACTTGAACATGTTAACTTCAAGTGATTCAAGCCCCACAAGATCAGGAGATAAGGATAGAGGTAAAATCATTACATTTAATTTTTTTGTCTGTGATGTCAAACTATATGTTATTTTAATTTAATATAAATAAATATACTTAATATTTTTACAGTTAGTTTAAAGAATATTACTAAAAGAAGAGGTGAATCCAGTGTAAATTTTCCTGTTGCTTATAGCACAACACGTAATAAAAGAATTCGCAGAGATCCTAGCCCTAAAGTTAAAGTAAGACGTCCCTATAAAGAAAGAAAGAAAGTGTTTCGAAAGAAGGTTAACAATAAAAATTTATGATAATAATAAATTTTTTAACTGTAACTATCATGATCTTTTGACTGAAATTCAAATCTCTTTTAATCTATAGGTAAAAACTGACATGGATCGTCCATCAGTTCGTCCGTGGTTAGAAAATTATGAGCTTGCAATTACGAATCATTACTCACAAGAATTAAGAGCAAGATTATCTGGCATAACTAAGAAACAAGAAGAACCGCCACACTTCGTTCTGACAGACTGTACAACCATTCCGTTTGCTGGAGGGAGAGTAAGTTTAATAAAATAATGTACATGTATGCATGGTTCATTAATTTTTTTCGAAAAATTTATATTCTTTATTTATTTCAGATTATGATCTCGACTATCGATATTCTTCCAAATACTCCAGTTATTGAGCTTATGGGAAAGTTCATGCTTTCTTCGCAACACCAAAATGCGACTGCTTTACTAGTTGGTGCGTATTATATGTATATATATATATATATATATATATATATATATAATAAATAAACAAATTCATAAGGCCAGAAAAAAATATATTTTGTTTATGTATTCTAGGAACAAACTCTAGACAAGTTACACAAAAGCCTGGCCCATTTGTCTTTTTTTACAGAATGCCACAAGAAGGTGCTGATATTTGTATAGATACGAGAACCTATGGCAATGATGCAAGATTTGTTAGAAGATCTTGTAAACCAAATTGTGAGGTATTTCAAAAATTTACTAAATGAATTTTAAGGCAGGGTTAAAATTTTAGTTAATGTTATATAAAACTAAATTTGTTTTGTGTAAACATGTTTTTTTTTTTTGTTTTAATATTTTTAGTCCATTATTTACAATAATTTTAAATCTATTTTGTATATATATATATATATATATATATATATATATAGTATGTCATGTTTACCGTATCTATTTATTTTTAGTTGCACCATTGGTTTGATAAAGGTACTCTGCATATTTTCTTAATGTCCATTGAGAAAATTGAAAGTAACACCGAGATAACTTTGCGACACGAATTGGGTTGGCATGGCTTAGGAATTGGACGAACACCTTCAAATCCTTGTGCTTGTAATTCTCCTGAATGCCTTCTTCTAAATCCTATTCAGAACCGTAAAAGTTACTCTTCTAATGATAATGCGTAAGTCATTCATACTTGTAAAAGTAACTTCATTTGCTTTGATAATTTTTTCCTGAGAAGTGCCTTCATTTATCATGTACAAATTGCAATCAATGCATATATTGATTTAGAAATTATACTAATATTATTTAAATTAAAATAACAAATGATAAATTTATTCTTATTTCATGTTTGTTTAGGCCATCTAAGTTAAGAGTAAATAAAACACGTGCCATGACATCAAGGTCTTACATGGTTAAGGATAAATTGGATTCTCCCAAATCAGATTGTAGTCCTGAAGATGATGCAGACGAAGATATGTCTGCTCCATCAAAATCTATTGATGACGATCATCAAAGTGACTTTAGAGCAACTCCTGTAAAGTCATCTCAAGATTCTGATAATACTTCTGATGACTTGAGGAAAATAATGGCATCTTGTGCTGATGCAAGAAGCGAGGTTGATGAATCTCCTAAATCTAGTATTCGATCTGAAGAAAGAACAGTAAAGCCATCATTTTCTAAAGATGAACCTCCACCTACAACTCGCAGAACTAGAAGAGCTTATACTAGACGAAATCGAGTGAATAAGAAGCTTGTTTTGCAAGATTCCTCCCCTCCGGAAGCTAAACCATCTGGAGAATCTGGAGATGAAGTATACAACGATACAAATGTCAAAGATATGAAGAAAATGGTTAGGATATAAGTATATTTCTAATGGTTTGGTTTCAAATGCTATTGTTTGAGTCATATCAAATCAAGAGTATGAATGCTATACATATAATTATTTTTCATTTTTAATTTATTTAATTTTGTTTAGAGTTTTTTTTAAGGGGGGTCCATTAATCACGTGAGGTTTTTAGGGGGAGGGGGGAATTGACAAAAAATCACGAAATATCACGTGGGGGAGGGAGGGGTATAGCAAGACATCACAAGCATTTATATTTTTTACTATTTTTTATGAAAAGGTTCAAACATTTAAAAAAAAAATTAAAAATTATACAGTATTTTTCACGTAACTAAAAATACATGTGATGTTTGGTGGCAGAGGGGGGTAATTTTGAATATCACCAAGGGGGAGGGGGGGTCTAAAAATCCTTAAAAACTCGCTCACGTGATTAACGGACGCCCCCTAAACTAAATAAACATTATTTTTCAAATTTCTTATTCAATATTTTTAGACACGTGAAGAAAGAAAAATTGCCCAAGTAATGAAAGTATTTGACCGTCTTGAGAAAGATAAAGCGAAAAGATCTTCTGGTGCTCCGAGGGGTCGGAGACGAGATAGTGAAAGTGATCATACCAGGAGAGATGAATCTACGGATGTTGAACATAATTCTACCACTGTTCGTGTTTATAGAACCAGAGGCAAAGGGCGTAGAAAGAATCAAGTGACTAGGGATTACAAACAGAAAACACGAAGGTCACTTTCTGAAGGTGGATCTGATGACTTATCTTCTATAAGAAAGTCTACTTCGGTTAAGTCTTCAAGTGAAGGTGGGAAAAATGCTGATCTATCAGATACTGATCCTAATCCTGAAACAGCTAAGTCTTCTAGCCCTGCTAAAATTGAAAGTGAAAAACCAATGCAGGGTCCAAGTAAGAGGGGACTACGTAGAAGAAAAATAGTTTTTCCTAAGAAGCAACATGTTAACATAGAAGAGGGACAACCGGGCCAGCAAACTGAAGAAGCTGCTGGTCTTCTTCTGGCATTGGCCAGGAGTACACCAGCAAATCCTAGCGACCCTAGTCCTTCAAATGTATGAGTTGTTTTATTTTTTATGATTTTTAGTTTTTATTTTGTCAATGTGCTGCATGCACGAACTTCCGAATTTTTACAAAATTCCAATTTCAAATAATTATTTATTTTGATCACTTATTTGTGTGCACAATAAATAGCTTTTTAACATCAGTGATCAAGTCTAATTGTACAAGATTCACTAATGATTGTGTATGAATGAACATTTGGTATGTTTTGTAGCTTCAAAACAATAGCTCTTATATTTTTTGTGTTAACTTTTTGTACTATATTATTTGCATTATCATTTTTACTTACATTTAACTCATATTTTCTATGTAGGAAATTCTTGAATCGCCAATCTCAAATATGATATCTGTTTGCCAGTTAGTGGAGGCTGCTGTCGGACCATTGGAAACGAGTCTTAAATCTCCTAAAAAGGTAATAATTTATATATTATTTCATTGAATTTTTGTATCAATGCATTCATATGAGTTATGAACTTGTTGCAGGCAATATTAAATGAGTGGATGAATAAATCTCCTGAATCAACTTTGGCGTATGATATTCAAGATCCAACACCTGTCGCATATAATGAATGCAACAGTAATAGTAACAGCCCTCTTACTTTATTCAGCCTTGGTAATGAATCAGCCCAGAATAGGAGTATCCCATCTAGTAAACTTTTGGACACGTTAGTTCAAGCAGCATCAAGTATTTGTGATATTGGCAATGAATATCCAGAAAGTGAATCAAATATCATAAAGGATAAATTGAAACTTGATAGTCATCATGAAACATCAGCAGAATCTTGTAAAACTCTAATGGAAGAGAAAGATCTGGATGAAAAATCAAAAATTATAGGATCAATGCTCGATGTCAAATCTAATATTTTGCTTGAGCCACCTGTAATTGGAAAATCATCTCCTTTGCCTCTCATAGATAATGATATAGCTAAAAATGAATTTCGGACTGTAATTCAAATAAACCATGCAAAAGAAGAAAAAAGTATATCATCTAATGAATCATCAAATATTACATTACAACCACTTACATCTCCTTTTACCACTAGTGATGCAAATTCAGTTCTTCAAAATCACATACCTGATTCTGAAGAAACGATGCTGGAATCTACAGTACAAAATGATGCATACGAAAGCATAAACTTAAACATTTCTGAAAGTCCGTGCACTGCAGAAGTCTCTGTTAAAAGCTCTGTTATTGATATATCAACTGATTTGTCCAATGATAGTAACAATGTATATTCCAGCTATCAGGGCAACAATAGTGGAAGCGCTAAAAAGCGTTGGTTGCATCAAGCTTTAAGTGAGGAATCGGATCATCCTTTATCTAAATCCTCTACACCTTTAAAGAAAAGACGAGTAGTACGTGAAAGTACATCTGAAATAGTGCATTTATCTAATGATGATGTTAATGAATTCACGGTGGATGCAAAAAACTTCCAGTCTGCAACTACAGTTGCTACAAGCAGTGATGGATTGGCTCAAGCGTCATTGCAAAACAAGAATACTGTAGTTGCAGAACTTAACACAAACACGAAAAGTTTAAATCGTGTTGAGAATGAAGCAAACGGAATAGAAAGCAACATAGCAAATCATAAATCTTTGATTCATTCATTGAATTCTAAAAATGCTTTTGATTGGGAAAATTTAGAAAATCATGAAGAGGCATTTGAAAATTCAATAGTTAATGAAACCTTGCCTATTAATTCTTTAAATTCACTTTCAGAAGCAGAATGTTCTGAAACTGTTGATACTTTATTGAAACACATGTCTCCTGAAATTGCAGATATACATAAACAGTTGCAATCATTCCATTCTGAGAATATTCAAGTCTTACGTTCTCGTAATCAGAAACCTAAAATATTTGAAGGTCCACGTAAAAAAGTGAACCTCATGTTTGAAGTATCCATACTGGAAGATGAAACTGTTGCTGTAGAATTGTGCAGTGAATCTAAATCATCCTGCACCAGTAAAGCACCAACTGTTAGACCACAAAGTCCTAACAAAGAAACAGTCGAACCACAAGCAAATTCTACTCAAATAATATCATATGACTTTGAAGAATTCTCTCGACACGAATCTAGGCTGTTACAGCAGCATCAGGATCTTTTGAATGCGTATAAAGTTGATGATTACATGTATATGGATGATAATGAGTTATCAACTAGCAGTTTACCAAACTATAGTACTATGTCTCTTTCTGATTCAAGCATCTGTGATTTGAAAGAACCTCAAAGTCAAGATGATATGTGTGTAAACACTACAAAATTCCATTCTGATAAGCACTCCTCTTTGTTGTCATTTAAAGATATTCCAACAAAATTAGAAACAAATATGCAAATGCCTCTCTGCTCACCTACTAATACCTTAATTAACAAACATGAAATTGGAGTTGCAGCAAGAGCAAGATTGGATTCTATATTAAATGCTACTGATATTTCACAAGATGCTATGTTTGATCAGGTATTGAAAAAATCTTTACATACGCCGAATCATGTTACAAATGTGATTCGAGTTGAGTCTCCCGTGAACTCCCCAATTCCTGCAGTGCAAACTTCAAATTCAAAGCCAATGGCAAGGACGTCGAGCAGTGATCCTAGACTACAGCAAGCCGCTCCAATTAAGAAGAAGGTTTGTTCAAAAAAAAAAAAAGTTGCTTGATTAAGGAAAGCTTATATATTCATTTGTAACATTTTATATGATTTAACTCATCAAAAATTGCATATTGAATGAAAAACTGCCATTGACTATCATGAACTTGACTAGAAATCAAAACACATATGATTGGCAAGAACTGATATATCGTATATTGTCAATAGATTTAATTTTTTATATAGAGCATGTTTTTTATTTATTATTTTTATTTTTGATTTCTTATTAATATTAATATCCATTATCGTTTTATATATCAAAGCAAGCACCCCATGAACACATTTATCTATATCTTAAACAATTGCATGCACTAAATGAATGCAATGTTTTAAAATAGATGTTTTCTGGGTGCTACAGTAGAAACAGTATATATTCACTGCTGTCTTTGCATGGGCTTTGTTGTGGGATCATAGACATCTAACGAATTTATCATTTATCATTATTTGTATAGAATTGACAAAGTATGCATGATATATTCTTTGTTATTAATTGTTACTATGAAATACTAAATTCAATACATATATAGTTGGTTGTTGTTTTCACAACTGTCACATGTCATATATTTTGCATTGTAAATCAGTGGATTAATTAAAAATAACATTAAGCAAATATTTTACATCTTGTAATCAGCAATTTTATATATCATTTATAAGTGAAGGATCATTTTTGAAGAAATATACTATTTTCAGCTCTCATTGACTGAATATAGGGCTCGTAAGAAAACAGATACTAATGGTAATGGAAATGATGTATATTCATCTTCTGAGAAAACTTTTGGACAAATGAATGTCCTTATATCTGATGTTGATGAAGAACCCAATGATCAAGAAAACTGTAAGTACTATATTTTAATTTTTAATCTGCATAAAATTTTATGAAAATAACCTATAACTTGCAATAAATTAACCTATAATTTACAATAAATCAACCTATAACAAACAATGATTCTATTTAAAAATGATGCATTTTATGTAATCACACTTATATTGTGAAAAAAAATTAAGTGAGGTGAGCAAACATCTTGTAAAATTGTTACATATTTTTTAATTTCAAAAATGGAATTTGCTCATTTTTACTTTGATGTCAAATAAATCAGTTTTATTTTTAAGTTTAAAGATCGGGTGTTTTACAAATAAACATTTTTTTTTGTTGTAATGCTCGATCTTTAATCCTAACTAATATATATATATATATATATATATATATATATATATATATATATATAGAATAAAACATTTTTTTTTATTTTCTGCTACATTAAATTTTATAATTAATATTTGTACATTGCATGCTTTTTATGAGCTCTTCAATAGAAACAAATATGAAATTTTTATTATATAATCAATGAGTATATTGTTTGCAGTCATGTTTACACCTGAACCTACGCTGGTAGAAAGGGAACTTGAAAAACACCCAGGCTTTCTTTCTAGAGATTTTTTCAATGTGCCTTCATCAATTACTAATGACTTGGCAAATGAAAGCGAGACTGAAGGATCAGGCTCGGACCCATGATAAGTATTTAAGCTGCCACAGAAAATTTTTAGCACATATATTGTATATAGATAATTATTAACTTACAATTGTATATATTCGTTAAATTTGGTAAATGACATTTTATTATAAATTATTATATAGTCGCTTATGAAATTTGCATGAATGCAAAGACTTCATTTTAATCTATTTTGATATTTATTGCTATTTGTAAGCAAGAAATACTTACAATTTACTATTCGTGGATATATCTATATCTGTGTGACTTCATTTTTGTTATTGTATATTCTGCATTATTACATATGCACATCTGTTGATCTAAATGTATATCTTGAGAATGTACGCATGCATATGTATACAAAGATACATAACGCTACAGTGATGAATGTACTCATTACTTTGATATTTTTCACAGAAACAATAACTTACTATCTATTTTGTATGCATTAATAGTTGTATAAATACTTGGATGATATTGAATTCCTTTTTTATGAATATATTAGTGGTATACTTTATACATTGACGATATTGAAGTTCTGTATAAAGTAAAGCACTCTATATTCATGTGTAATGTTAATAGTTTTGTGTTTTTTATGCATATATAATTGTAAAGGAATTTCATGTTATAGAATATTTTTAAAAATTTTATATTACTGACATATATATAAATACACACACAAATATATATACCTAAATATAAATATTATATATATATATATATATATATATATATATATATATACATACTCATATTTATATTTATGTAGGTTAATATATATATATATATATATATATATATATATATATATATATATATATATATATATATATATATTATATATGTATATATATATATATATATATATATATATATATATATATATAACGGAGCAGTTAGTTATTGATAAATTTGAATATATTTGTGATTATTTGAATAATTTATTGATGGCACTAAAAGATTAGACAATATATTATTTGCTGTATTAACATTTTGTAATCTGATGGCCAAATCTATGATTCATCACAAAATGAGTAAAAATGACAAAGTGAGCAAATGATTCAAAATGGTTTAGTAGGATTAATCATTTTGAATTTAATATCTAAGTACCTATTTGTTTATGAAAGTTAAATTTACAAGTTATGTAAATTTTCTTTGAACATTTTAATTTATTTTGATTATTGTTGTTTACACAACTTATGTATAGATATTATGAGCTTTATTTAAAATATTATTCTGTGATTTCAATATTTAAACTATATACAATGTTATTTTTTTAAATCTTATATTTTTTCATAATTCTATTTGTAAGCTTATGTAAATGATTTAGGGTGTAATGAGATAAGACTACGGATTTCTAAGAAGAATAGACCTGTGCGTATAATTTTTTTTTATACTTGCTATTTTGAAGATTTTCTATTATTTAAAATGGATTATTAATATATGCATTAAATGTTTGTATGAATGTAGGTTGAAAGGAAAAATGTGTATTATAATGAATTGTACATAAATTTTAATGATTAGGAATATTTTTCTAGTTTACTCTAAGTGATCCATCATATATTATTTAATTGTATATAAAATTATACATAAATGTTATTTATATACATATATATGCTTCAAAGTAATCTTTGTAACCTGTGTGTGATAAATCTTGTATGCTTATTTATGATATTGTAACAAAGCCATTTTCTTCTTTTTTTTTTTTATTAAATAAAATGAATATTATTAACTTAGATAACTTGTATGTTAAATTCAAATATATTGTATCTTGTTCAAAGAGAGTGAGTGCACGTTCAGTAAGTTTGTGACCATGAATCCATCATAAATAATTGATTTTACTATTACTATTTTTATCGTTTGATAGCTATTACAATCTGAAGAAAATACTTTTGTGTATGTCATAATTTGAAAAATGTACTTTTATTGTATTTGTTTTTGAAAAACACAAAATATTAATATGCATGATTTGTAACTGTGCAAAGTCATTAGCATTTGTAAGCAGAATTCCATTCATGCTTTTGAATTTTTGACATATGTACATTTATTACTATATATATATATATATATATATATATATATATATATATATATATATATATATATATATGTAATACGTATATATATATATGTAATACGTATATATATACATATATATATATGTAATACGTATATATATACATATATATATATGTAATACGTATATATATACATATATATATATATATATATATATATATATATAAGCTTCAAATGGAGTTAGATAGTTATATAATTTATAGTTCTATTTACAACTTATATATATATATATATATATATACACAAACACACACACATATATATATATATATATATATATATATATATATATATATATATATATATATATATATATATATATATATATATATTAGATGAATATTCGGTCTTCTGTGGTCCAAATTTTATTTTATATTTATTTTTTATATGTACATATCTACAAAAATTTTCTATTTTAGTATCTTTATTAATTTCTTATATTCAATATATGATAGATATACTTTTTGGGATATAACATCGAATGTTTTATGTTATATATAAACACTTAAGCTCCTGTAAATACACATGTTAGTGTGTGGAGCACCATGTTTAAATATATAAAGCAGGGTTTGTTGTTCTTGTGATCCTTCAGAAATTGTATATAGTTAATTTCTATGATATGTCCCAAAAGGTAGTTGACATTTAGATAGCAATCTTTATTAAGAATATAGGCCTTACTTAAGAGCTGAAATTTGATAACAACATATTTTATAATGTGAGTTTATTAATTGTTGTATCTTTATAGTATTGGCCTATATACTTGTAAATATTTATAAATATGTATATGTAAAAATATCCATTTCCAAAAGTTACTTCATTACTATTATTAGATCAGCTGTACTTGTAATGAGATAAGAAATAAATAAATATGTTGTAATTAAATGAATAAAAAAAAGTATTTTTCATTATATATTTAAAAAAAATATTTTAATTTGGAAAAATATGTTAAAAATGTTTTGATGTTAATTTTATTATAACAGCTATTTTCAATAAGTAATTTCACAAAATTTTTTAATTATTTTTTCAGAAAGTTTCAATTAAAATATTTTAACATTGTATCACAGATATTATATGGATATTGTTAATAATTAAATGAAAATACTAATAAAGTGAGTGTTTTCAACAGACATCCAGCTTTTCAAACCGAATTACATGGACTAAATAAACTAAAATAAATAAATAAACTAGTGGGTGCATGGCATCGTGTCTTAAGGCAAATTGCTGGAATTTCCCGTACCGAAAACTAAATTATTAAAAAAATTTTTGCTAAACTTCGAAAAAATTAGATTTTTGAGAAATTTTTCGATTTTTCACTTTTTTGAAAAATTTGATTTTTTTTATTCTATTTTTTTGTATTTTGATTTATTTTGAAAATTTTGAACTTTTTTTAAGTAATCGAGCTGCATAGCTGATTTGGTGTCGAAATATAAAAGCGCGCGAGCGCCGCGTAATTGGCAAACATTGGTACGGAACCCATATAAATAAACACAAAACTTGTACTTATTATTATAATTTTTATAACATATATATATATATAACGATGTACATATGTCTAATGTTCATTTTTGAACGCCAAATGACATTATTTTTGACGTTTTTTTATTGGATCTAAGGAGAAGCTGAAATTGCCTTTACAAAAATTTTACCAGTTGTTCATTTCATCAACACCAGCAAAATGTTTTTTGAATTATTTGAATTGGACGCTCCGTTCTCTTAAAAACTGAGTTACCGTTTTTGGCACTTTTTGCCCTGTATCTTCAGAACGGCTAAATCTTCCTTTGCCAAAAACTAATCAGCACGTGTCCTTACCAGTAGGAATCGAATGTTTTTCGAAATATTCAAATCCGTTGATCCGTGTTAGTGAAATCATCGACGAAGATTTGTATCCGCACACTCACACACATAACATCCATTTTTTCTAAGGTATGCCAAAATGTTCAGAAACGTTGAAACGTAAAGATATATAAAAATTTTTATTGTCGATTTTTTTGCGATTACTATAACTTACCATATGGGAAGTTAATTAGTCTTTTCAGTCTTTTTTCTTCTGAAATAGTTTGTCCAAAACCATTATTTCGATATCGAACATTAGACATTAGTAGTCAACATGCACTTCTATTGTTAAAATCAATTTATATCTATGGTGCAGAATTATTAGTAAGTATACACGCCGATACGCTACATTGGATTCCAATAAGTATTGTCAAATATTTTGTGATTGTGCCGGTGAAATTTCATTGTCAAGTTACGTAGTAGTGTTTAAGTTTAGTGAACAATATAAAAATAAAAGTGTTTATATTTACATAATATCATTCTTATTACACAGAACATGCGTTTTTTCGTTTATCATTGTCATTTTTACTTGTTGATTTTGTTTGTAGCACTTTTATTACTATTAGTGTTAGTATTAGTTTGAAATCTGGATGATCTACCTGAACAAAATTGATTAATTCATGTATCATGAAACTGTAAGTATTTTATCATTTATTTTTATTTATTAATTTCCCGTAGGGTAAGTTATAGTAATCGCAAAAAAAAATGAAAATTTTTATATATTTACATTCCAAAGGTTTCTAAACATTTTAGCATATCTTAGAAAAAATAGATGTGTATGTATGTATGTGCGGACATTTTTGCGATTACTATAACTTGCCCTACGGGAAATACTTTGTAAGTAATAAATAAAAAATATTACTTTAATCTCACTTATAAAAATATTTTAAGTGTAAATGCAGTAAATGAAATACTTTGTATCCTGTTCAAATTCATTTTCGTTGAGGGTATCTCACTCAATTTTGAATAAAATTCTTTGATTAAGTAATAAAATTTTATTATTGTATTGGGCAGCAAGTAATAAGAAATATTTGCTATAACATATTTTATCACACATAAAATTATTAACAATAAATATGATTTTATTTTTATAAAGAGGAATGATTTATCTAGAAGTCACAGATATT